TGCGAGTGTTTTAAATGGCTTAAAAAACAAACCATCTTATGAGTTCATTGGCGAAGTAATTTTAAAAATCAACGTTGTCTAAGTCAAGAAAATCAAACTAAAGTTTATGTAAATGAACATAATTTTATAAAACCACTGACACGGTCGTGATTTCCTTTGTCTTTTCTTCATGAATTATTAATGAGTTTTTAAAATTTTGGTAATATTTAGGCTCATCCATTTATAAAACAATACGAAACGGAGGTCGTTGATGTTGCCACCTGGGCCCGACCTATTCTGGAGGAGTTGGATGACCAAGTGAAGACTTAGTGGCAGAACACTAGAGAAATTTATCATGATAGGCTTTTCTGAAATGTTGCTTTTATTTAATATCTATATTAGGGACATCTTTTTATAACTTCCGTAATACATACAGCTTTGTTTTTAAATAACTCATGGTATTAGTACTCGTGATTGAACAAATTGAACAATGCAACGAAGTCGGCGCATAAGAAGTTCGTCCAGTTCAGTAACCTAAAGCCCTGGGCAAACTAGGAAACATTGTTTCCTATCAATGTTTCGTCATGTTTCCCAGAGTGGGCAAACACTAGGAAACATTAGTGAGAAACATAGGGAAACATCAAATGTTTCTGAATTCGCTAGCAAACATTTTTGCTTCTCGGGAAGCAAATTTTGTTTCCGCAACAATGTTTCCACGGGTGGGCAAACATGGAAACATTTGAGGAAACATCGAGAATCACAAATGTTTCCACAACAATGTTTCCTAGTTTGCCCAAGGCTTAAAGGTCACAGTGGAATTCTTACGGCAATAGCTCTGCTCGAATGCACAGCGCTGTTTATTGCACTCTTGCCTCGGTTTAAGCCTGGTTGACATTATCAAAGTCTCTGTGATCACAGTAGGAATTTTGCATGGGTAAATTCTAAGTTTTGAAGGATTTGTAAGAAATGTTTGATGGAACTGACTTGGTGTTTTACAGTGTGTCAGTTCCCTTACAAATCCTTCAAAATTTTACCTATGCAAAATTTCTACTGTGATCACAGAAACTTGTGATGTGTAATATAGGCTATATAGCTGTGCTTCAATACTGTTTATTACTCGTCTTCAATGTTGCGCCTGCCATGCTAAAACAGGCCAACATGGAAACGAGACAATTGGGGGGAAAGTGCGATAAACAGTAAATTCTATTAAATGTGAAATAGTGGATATTTGAAATTTTCTAGTCGGCCATACACATCACATAAGACGTGAAATAACAATGTTTCGAATACTGAAAATGTTTTCTATTATTGTAATAATTCAGGATCGATTATTTGTGAATAGGAAAAATACAATTTGGTGAAATTATAACATGGGTGGATCTTCTACGATACTTGTTTTGGACTACACACGGCGTAAAATCTCACCAGTTGTCAACAAGAAGTGTTCGCAACAGGCTTGTAGCAAGCTTGTCAACAAGTTGTAACAATGCTGTTATTTTATCAAGTTGCTACAAGGTTGTCGCTCACAACTTGTCAACAAATTGTTGAACTGCAGGACGATAACAAGTTGTTGGAACAACTTGTAACAAGTCTAGTGAGCTCAACAACGTTGTAGCAACTTGTCAACAAGCCGTTGCCAACTTGTCAACAAGCTGGGAACAAGCAGTGTGAACACATCCTGTTGACAAATTGTTGAAACAGCACTGCTACAAATCTGCTGCAGGTTTGTTACAACTTGTGCGTTTTGCGTGTGCATGTACCAGAAAAATACAAGCGAAACCTTTTGAGGTTTTGCTTGAATTTTTCAGGTGGACGATCTCTCTCAATTCGTGGCTTTCTGTAAGCTTGTCGATATCAAGCTGTGTTATGCAGAGTTCTCGCTGCTCAATATCTGCCTCGTCCCTCGTCGCTTCAGTTTGGAATAGAGATCAGTGGAAAAACAATGCGAGCGTGGTGCTTAATGGGAATGCAATAGAATTAACGCGACCGCGCGTACGAATGATGGATGAGGGACTGTGGAAGAGTCGGGCTCATTGATTGTGTTTCGCGCCTGAAACACCTGCTTTGTATCCCGACACCCTAAAATTGGGCTGTTATATAAACACGACGCGAATGAAGCGAGAACTTCATTTTACTGAATCGGCATGACAACATGGCTGGTGTGAATGGAATATTTATTAAAACAGAAAGCCCTTTTATGTCACATACGGTGTGCTCTCATGCCACTAGAGTGCTTTCGCTCATGAACAGACATCGTCGAGAGAAAGAGAAGCTATGTGATGTAGTTTTGAGAGTGGGAAGTCGTGATATAACGACACATCGAGCCGTCCTAGCGGCGTGTTCGCCGTATTTCTATGCGATGTTTTCAGGCGAACTTGCTGAAAGCCGATCTAGAGTCGTGGCCATGCAAGACATACATCCCGATATTATGGAGAACCTTGTTGAATTCGCATACACCGGTAGAATTAATATCAATGTTGAAAACGTACAAGCACTGTTGGCTACAAGTTCCCTTATACAATTTCACGAAGTGGGAGAATTGTGTTGCAAATTTCTCGAAACTCAACTCGACCCTTCCAATTGTCTCGGAATTCGCAAGTTTGTCGAAGCACACGGTTGTACAAATTTTCTAGAATCCGTAGATCGTTTTGTTTTAGAAAAATTTAAAGAAGTTGTGAAGTCTGAAGAATATAATTTACTACCGGGTGAGCTGTTGATAAAAGTGCTTTCCAGCGATGACTTGAACGTAAATTTTGAAGAGGAAGTTTATGAATCTGTTTTAAAATGGGTTAGTTTCAATATCAGTGAACGTTCAGAATTGTTGCCTCGTATTTTAGAGAATGTACGTCTACCATTGATATCTAAAGATTATCTTTTATCAAAAATTGACAACGAGCCTTTGGTAAGGTTAAATATGGCCTGCCGAGATCTTCTAGACGAGGCAAAAAATTATTATTTAGTGCCCGATCGGCGAGCCCAGATGCGTTGTAAGAGAACAAAACCTCGAAAGTCAACGGTTGGATGGCTTTTTGCAGTTGGTGGAAAAGAAGCCGGAGAAACTATAGCGAATAGTGTTGAATGTTATCAGTGAGTATATTTTGTATGTGGTTTTGTGATAAGGTCTCTGGGCTATTGTTCTAATTATGTAGTTAATTAATTCTAATGACAGATCTGCTACAATAATGTCATGTGGGATTCTCATCAATGGCATTAGTGAATTCTGGAAAAAATATTTAAACATTTATGTTATCAGCATGAAAAATATAAGAATTTCAACATCTTGAACAGAGGAATTTCAACAGAAATTGAAATATTAATATTGGCCCCAATGTGAACATAAACAATATCATAATTATACTAATTAAAAATATTATGATTAGCATTTCTATAGTGTAATGATCAAGTTGTATGCTTACCAAATTACCTACTTAACCTGGACTATTTTAACTGTGTTTATCCTAACCCACCCTGTCTACTTTACCCACAACGTTTGGCAGTTGTTGACTGACTCTTCACATGAGTCCATAGCAAGAATTGAGCCCACAAACTTGGATGTGAAAAGTGCTTGCTCTGATGACCCATTTAAATTAAGCACGCTTTCTAAATTCTAATTATAATTTTTGTTCAGTATGTACTCAAACAAATGGCAGAGAGCAGCGCCTCTCAACTCTGCTCGTCAGCAGCTTGGCGTGGGTGTCATTAGTGGCTCTCTTTATGCGGTTGGAGGGTCAGATGGATACTCCAGATTGAACAGTGTTGAGCGTTATGATCGCGAGCTGGATAGATGGACATACACCAAGTCTCTAAACACCTCGCGTTCTGGTGTCGGTGTGGGTACACTGGGGGACGCTCTGTATGCCCTGGGGGGTTATGATGGTCGGACGTGTCTAAAGACAGTGGAGCGGTATGACCCCCAGGTTGATTGTTGGAGTTGTGTTGCTTCGTTGAACGTAACACGAAGTTTCCCAGGTGCGTTACAGTTTTTCATTTCATTAAAGTGCTTTCGAAACAACATTTTGTATGGCTTTGTACGGCACAGACTGTTCGAGATTAAATCACAGATATATACATTATATGCATCAGTGTATGTACCTCTTAGTGTGCCTATTTTTATATTTGTAATGGTTATTTTAGGTGTTGCAGAGTTGGGCAACAGTCTATTTGTGATTGGTGGAAATGACGGCACATCATTCTTGAATTCCTGTGAACATTATGATCCTCTCACAAACAGATGGTCGTATGTTCCACCCATGAGCCGACCTCGCGCTGGTGTTGGTGCTGCTGTTGTTGATGGTATTTTGTATGTTGCAGGTATGTCTAACCATAATACCATTGTTAGATACAATATCTTTGGATTGAGAGGAATCATGCAACCGCCTGAAAAATGCAAGTCAATCCCTCTCGATCAATCCAAGATTTTCTGGTGTTACTATTATCACTCCTATGCCGGGACAAACCATTCGAGTTTAGCTACACATAGTTCTATTTCAGTGATATTTCATTTTTTTACCTGAAGGTGGCTTTGATGGGATTTCCAGATTAAGTTTAGTGGAGATGTTTGAACCTCGAATGAATGCTTGGCAAGAGGTCGCGGCAATGAACTCTTGTCGGGATGGGGTATGTATGGTAAACTACGGGAGCCAGCTCTATGCAATCGGGGGGATTGATGGTCCCTCCTACTTGAGTACAGTTGAAATATTTGACCCCAAAAATAACAAATGGGAGGAGGTATTGCAGATGGAGACATGCCGAGCTGCGGCAGGGGTTGCTGTGTTGCCTGATGTGTATGGTATGTAGTGTACTGTAAGATATCCTAGGGGTATACAAGATTATTGTATCAAACACAAAGATGCATCAATAACCTGGTTTACACTATCAAAGTTTCTGTGATCACAACAGGAATTTTGCATCGGTAAATTCTAAGTTTTGAAGGATTTGTAAGAAATATTTGAGGGAACCGAATCACTGTTAAAATGCAAAATTCCTACTGTGATCACAGAAACTTTGATAGTGTAAATCAGGGTTATAATTAGTCATGCTGAAGAAATAATATACATCACTGCAAAGCACATGATATTGGCCAGCACAAACTAGTCAAGTATCGTTGTCCCAGAAAACACCATCCAGTGTTGTTGATGGATCAACAAAATTGGACAATGCTGGTTCAAACAGGCCTTCATTATTCATTGTGAATACAAACTACACACATTGTAAAAATGTACATAACTAAACATAGAGAATGTACATATTAATTTTGTACTTTTTAAGACTTTATAAACTTATAAATTATTACCATTTGCCAAAAATTAACCACCACCATAAAGTATAAAGATAAATTTGAATAATAGAAAGAAATATTCACTTATTATATTGCAACTTCATTACTTTATTATATTGTGAAAATGTATGGAATTCAGTTCTTAATTTAGCATGCAAGATAACGTGACTTGCAAGACGATGTTTTTTGAGGAAACAGTAAACCTAACTCTCTGTTAATTCCCTCATTAAATTTCATATTAAATGAAAATGGTGTTGCACCAGAAGAACAATCTAGCAAGTCTGTTGACGTGATAAACAAACAAACTTTATTCAAACAGGGCTACCAATACATAGAAAACAAAACATATTAAATTTGCAGAGAGACTAGATTAAAAATTAGAATTATAATTGATTAAAATTTGTTAGGACATCGAATTTTAATCCGTTATAACTAGTAAAAGTTCATGTTTTGTATTCTATGTACCAGTAATTGGTAGCTTTGTTTGAATATAAATGATAATACATTATAATACGTTATAATAAGTTATAGTTCACACACTTCTACATCTTGACTTTTGAAAAAGGATTTTTAATTATTTTTATTTCTTAAAAACGATATTTCTAAGTTTCCATCTCCTCCACGCTATTACCATGTTCCAAGCTTGATGAAAACATGATAGGCTGACATTCTAAAGTTCTCAAGTTCAGTAACACACAACAGCCTGACTGAGTGAAACTTGGCACCATTATAATTGCTACTTTTTGACCAGCACTTCCTAGAAATATGATACAATTATTGGAATAACTTTGTACCAACTTTGGGTCTGGATTATATTTTAAATTCAGTTGGGGAGTTTCACATTACTTGTTACACTTTATTGAATTCCTCACTCATTCGTGAGCGGATTTCCCAACGGGCTATTGTCCAATTGATAGGAGATCCGAGGTACGCTTTATGGTCGTTTCGTCCCCTTGCCGTTTCGTCCCCTTCACGTTTCGTCTCTAGTTATTTATTTATTTAACTTCGCCATTATCATGCATGCATTCATGGCAGGGTCACCACAACAGTATATGTTACCAATTACTGTGGGCCCTTAGTGCTTTCGTCCCCAACACGGACGTCACCCGAAAATTGGTAGGACTAATTTTGGCGGCATTTTGAATCATAGCGCTCGTTTTTGTCCTATATGTTGAAGATTACCACAAACTGACAAAAACACAGTTTTTAATCCAGTCCTCCCTCGGCGAACTGACGACGTCAGCCATTGGTCTAGTTTTCCTCAGATTCAGTTGCAATTAAAATAAAGTAAAGTCAAGTGTCACTATAGTAGTCAAGTTTCGGAATTTAAATACAAAAATGTGTATTATCCAGGCATACAATCCAATGAGATACAATCTCAAAAAGTAAGATATACTATATTAAGGAAGTAGGTTATAGATAAAACAGTATCTAGTCTGGGGACGAAACGTGTAGGGGACGAAACTACAAGGGGACGAAACGGCAAGGGGACGAAACGGCAAGGGGACGAAACGGCAAGGGGACGAAACGGCAAGGGGACGAAACGGCAAGGGGACGAAACGGCAAGGGGACGAAATGACCAGTTACCCGAGGTACCTACGATTTAACGTCCTTATCCGAGAAGACGCGAAAGTCTAACCATTTCCTGATGTCAATGTAAAGGTAGCTCTTTCTCCTCAATTATTTTAAGAGCTTGAGTAGAGGTCCGAACAAGGATTGAACCCGGCTCTCCCAGCTTGCAAGCGTGCTGACCACAAGTGCTAGAACACTAACCTTCAATACTATCTTGTGCAAACTCGGGTTGATTTCCAACAAAGTAGACATGAGGACATTCTTTTAGTACAAAAGGATCTTTATCATAATAGGGATAGCTGCCTGAAAATAAGTTCAAACATGAAGTTATTAATTCAGAGTTTCCAAACAGATGAAAATAGCTTGACTGTCTACCAAGCAATTAGTGTTCTCAACATTTCCAAATTTAACCAGAATGAAGCTTTGGTTCTCACCAAGGGTATCTGGTGCTGTAGGAGCGATATGACCGCTTTCTAAAGACAGTTTGACAATATCCATTCTGCTGTTTTGACCTGTGAATCTGTAAATGTCGTTGATATTCCGACCATCTGTACCCAGGAGCCTATGAGGGAAAGAAACCGTTTTAGATTATGTTACTTTGACCATAAGAGTACAGGCCTGATACTTTCGGGGGGGACTTGAAAGCTAACTAACCAACAACCTCGTACCCAGACTCTTTCCTCTGCGCTCCTGGCTGCCAAAGGACATGATACAGTACCTTACTCCTGCGACAACAGCATCATAAGGGTTAGTAACATTCTTGAAAGTTGAATATTGGCTTGCTTGAGGAAACATACAGGCATGAAGAGGTTGTTGTGGCCATACATAGTTACATGGATCAAATTCTCCCGGCATTATATCAACTGGAATGCATGCCTGAAAATAGAAATGGTTACGCACTAGAAATAATCGCACATTCTCACGTTTCGGAAAAGGCATTCGTATGTGTTTATGTGAGTGACAACCTTGTAGCAACTTGAAAAAATAACAGCATTGTTACAACTTTGTTGACAAGCTTGCTACAAGCCTGTTGCGAACACATCTTTAAGGCCCGTTTACACGGGCGATTTTGTTGCGATTTTAGTTGCGATTTTCTCGTTTTGGAGGATGTGAAGGAGTGGATGAGTTCTAAATGTTCCAGGTTATTAAATGTCATAACAACAACATTAAGTAATCTACGCATCCTTCAAAAGAAGAAAATCGCAACTAAAATCGCAGCAAAATCGCCCGTGTAAACTGGCCTTTAGAGATTTTTACGTCCGTATACTTCTGTATATGAATAAAAGTCAATGAGATCATACCACTAGACCACATGACTGGATCCTACTTACTGCCAACTGCGCTAAACATTCATCCAAGTTCTTCATCGCGTCAACACTCTGAGCCTGCGCGTTGCGAGTCAGGTATTTCGCCTTGGCTTCATTTTGTTTGTTCCTTGTCGACGAACTCAGCGAGTTCCCAGCAATCACAACTCGAACTACTTTGGCGTAATTATTTTGATCCTTTACAAGAAAATGATAAAATTGCAACACTGCACATTCAAGACAAGCGTCGAGCCTCGTTTACACTATCAAAGTTTCTGTGATCACAGTACTCAGTAGGAATTTCGCATATGTGAATTCGAAGATTTGAAGGATTTGTAGGATACGTCTGAGGGAACTGACTCGCTGTGGCTCACTGAGTCAGTTTCCTCAAACATTTCTTACAAATCTTTCAAAACTTTTACTTTTTACAAAAATTTACCCATGCAAAATTCCGACTGTGATCACATAAGGGCTTACGGAAAAGAGTTATCAGCGTTCACCTGAATACTGCCAAGCTGTCCAGTCAGTAAATCAATAAACATTTGAAGTTGTAAACAATCGTGATTTTCCTCTCCAAAATTTAGACCACTTACAAGGGCGACATATCTATAGGTAAGAAACGTAGAAAAGAATGCGTCATCCGTCCGGAAGATCATTTGGGAAAAACACACAAGATGAACCAACTAGAATAGCCTCTAGGAACAGATCCAGGGCTTTCAGAATTACTCTCGGTGGCTGTGAGGAGCGGTCCAGGGGAACAACTGAGTTCTGGAACCAAATTATAATGTATCACTACTTTCATTCTTCAACAAGATAACTTGAAGATTTAAGATGGCAAATAACTAAATCAGTTTTACGAAATATTACGTCGTTTTCGAAAATAACCAGGCTATAAAGTAGACGAGGTTGAGGAAAAATAACTTTGTTCGAAAGCTTAGAATGGAGGAAGGAGAGCAGAATTGATATTTCAAGTTCTGAACAAAATGACCTGCGGTAAACCTCGTGGCACCCGCTGGAGCTACAGCGCCTGCCAGCCTTATTTTGAAAGCCCTGACTTAGATTGTTCACTGGAGTTGAACGCACCTATCTTCGCCATCTAATAACATTTGATCTAGTTTGAGTTTTTCTTGAAAAGGTAATCCACTCAGACAATAGTCTTCAACCTGAAACCTTCCCTCCTCGTCTTCACTGCCCAGTACAGCGGCAATCACACCTGGATATTCACAAAATAGTTAAAGGACATCGAGTTATAGAAGACTGTAGGGACAGACAAATCAGTAAACAGTGTTTCCTAGCCATATATGTTCCCCAAAGGTGGGCAAACCAGGAAACATTGTTTCCTAGCTATATATGTTTCCCAAAGGTGGCAGGGCAAACCAGGAAACATTGTTTCCTAGCCATGTTTCCCAAAGGTTGGCAAACCAGGAAACATTGTTTCCTAGCCATGTTTCCCAAAGGTGGTCAAACCAGGAAACATTGTTTCCTAGCCATGTTTCCCAAAGGTTGGCAAACCATGAAACATTGTTTCCTAGCCATGTTTCCCAAAGGTGGGCAAACCAGGAAGAAACATTGTTTCTTAGCCATGTTTTCTGAAGGTGGGAAAACCAGTAAACACTGTTTCTTAGCCATGTTTCCCAAAGGTGAACAAACCAGGTATGCAGAGTATGTAGCCAGTGTACATATAGTAAGGTTTAATGTTGAACCTGTAATGAGTTTATCAATGGGTATTTCTCCAACAAGCCTCACTCTCTGATTTTCATCTTCAAGAATTAATTCATCATTTTCATTGATATATTTTACCCTGGGAGGCTGGGGCATCAGGTTGTTCTAGAATTATTAAAAACCATAGTGTCAAATCACAGTATTGAAAACCATGTATGACCTGGATTGGATGGCATATTACAACCAAAAATAAAAATTTGAGAATGAGATAAACTCGCAACAAACCATAGACAATACCTCAACACTCAGTTCTTTCAATATAACAGGTTTTAACTCCATCTTTTTGAACAGCGTTCCAATCACGCAACATTTTTCTCCAATTTTCAGGTCAACTGTTCTCCTTATATTGATTGAATTACCTACATAGTTGATGCATATATTTTATGTAAAAATAACATCATACCATCAGGTGTATAACATGCATATGATGGTGTTATTCATAGGCATAGATGGTGCTATTCATGATGGTGTTGTTCACAGGCATATGATGGTATTCTTTACAGGCATAAGATGGTGTTATTCATATGACAGTGTTATTCAGCAAGTATATGAGAGGGTGGCATGCAGCTCCCCCTCCCCAAAAAAAAACCATACAGCTTCTATGTTACTATGTATTAAAACTGTTGAAAAAGGAAGATATTTTTTCGTCCCTGGAAAACCCCTAACACCCTAACATACCTTGCCCATGGACCACCCCTAACATACATACCAAGCTATATATAAGTCTCTACTCGTCAATCCACCCTACCCTTCTTGAAAGTACATCGTATTTGCCGTAGAGCCTCATTTTCATGATTGAGATGTTGGGTTTCAACTAATGCCACATACATGAACGTGAGGTTCTACAGCAGAATGCACTTTCCGTCCAAACGACCTCTCGTTAATACCATATTACCATACCCACCCCATTTGCGTCTGGCAGCAACAGCGACCGTCTTCCGCATTTCCATCAATCTCACTGCATAAAGATGAGCGTACTGTCTATCAAAATTTCTTTCCTTTAACAAAAACCTTCCAGATTTATTTTCATACAAACATGCCGACCTCTCGATGACATCATCAGATCCACCATCCTCCCCACCGACAGGACACGACAATAAGTAATCTGGTCTGTTTGTCTCATTGTCAATCATGATTACTGATTTATCTAAATTATTTACTTATATAATTCAAATTATAAAAATATAAATATATAAATGGCATAAAAACAAAACATTTGCACTTGGCGCCAAATTTGTGAAGAAATTGCGGGAGTAATGTTTCCACTTTGGGAAAGTGCATAAAATTAGCTAATTACATACCATGCACTTTGGGAAATATTTGGATAAAACATAATAAGTGAACTAAAGAGGTACATTATCCCTTAAAAACACTTATGTCACATCTTTATTCCCACTTATCATAATTTATCCAAATATTTCCCGGAGCGCATGGTCAGAAAAAAATAATGGCTGTTGTTTATGGCGGGAATACAATTTACTAAACTCGAAATTTTTGTACATTTTCGAGCTTATTCTTACGCAGAAAACCTATATTCCGACGAACGATAAAGAAATCTACCTTTTGGAGAGGTTTTTAGTTCATTTCAGTGAAGAATCAACGTTTTTGTGGTTTAAATATGCCCGTGTTCACATCGTGTGAAGCGCGAAGTCCTCCCGCGGTCGAAAGCCCGCCAAGAAAAAAATTCAAATTTTCGCTCAAGTTAAAATCGAAAAAGAAGGCTAGAGCGAAGAATCCGATGGATAGCGATAGCGAGGACGAAAGTGGGAAAGAAAATGGTGATTCTAGTATGAATTTTGAAAGAAAAGAGGATTTAAACTTCTCTTTTGGAAAATCAACAAACAGTCTGACAGATGTGAATACTACGTTTGGACAACAAAGCGAAAGTGTGAGTCTACCATTGCCCTACACTGGCCTCGCAAACCTTGGCAATACATGCTATCTCAATGCCGTGCTGCAAGTGTTGAGGTACTGCCCAGGATTTCTGAAATCTCTTGTAAATTTGGATGAGTTATCTGCTCAGAATTGTACAATGTCCGCTGATTTGGTGAGTGTGTTTATATTTTTACACACATTGTAGTGTGTACGATGTAAAATGTATTTAGTATACAGTGAATAAGTGTTATTGTTGAATATTAAATGTACATTATTTAATAATATCTAGTATCAATGTACTAAGTAAAAATATTTTTAAAGGATCAAAGATGTTTATAAAAATATATTTGGAAAGTGCTACCTTTTGATCTTTTTAGGGACTTCCAACATCTAGCTTTTGTCCCACTTTGCAAACGTGTGCTGCACAAGCCTTGAAACCCTCCTGGACCATAAAAATCTATTCGCTGACCCGAGTTAACATTTACCAATTTTTCATCTAACTATCCACAGATATTTGCCAAAAATGGACCTCAGAATAGTCCATTCCAGCTATAGACTAAATTTTGATCTAGGCAAGAAGAACAAAATCAATCACCACAGCTAGAAAGAGCATGTTAAAATTAGTAAAATTGCAAAGTTTGGTTGTGAAATGTTGTAAAATGCAGAAAATATAGCCCTGCAAAATTTGCAAATTTTGTATTAATTTATATTACACTTGGGAAAATGCACCACATTTGGGCTGAAAGTGGTGCATTTCCCTTGCGTAATACAAATTAATACAAAATTTGCAAATTTCATAAGGCTATATATTTCCTCATTTTACAACATTTCACAACCAAACTTTGTAATTTTACTAATTTTAACATGCTCTTTCTATCAGTGGTGATTGATTTTGTTCTTCTTGCCTAGATCAAAATTCAGTCTAGCTGGAATCATCCATTGGGAGCAATTCTAGAATACCCCACCACTAACCTAACCACCTAACTACTAACCGTAACACTAACCCTAACCTAACCACCTAACTACTAACCGTAACACTAACCCTAACCTAACCACCGGAACATAATTTTACACACCGCTAAACCCAGTGGTGTGGTGTTCTAGAAACTAGCCCAGAATTGAAATCTTCATGCTCAAATTAGAATGTACAAATTCCATACACATCTATAGTAAAAACAAAATTTTAAAAAATCTAACTCTCTCCCTGAATGTCCAAACATGAAATTTTCGGTGTAGACTAATTTGAAAGTGACTATTTCTGTTCTGAGGTCCATTTCTGCCAAGTATGAAGAAGAAAAAATCAATTATATTTTTAGACAAGAGAAAGTCCATCAGAAGATTTGTCATCTTCAACAAGATCAAGCATTATCCACAGTATCCACAAGGTACACTATATCACCTCTTCACAGTAGTTGTAGAATGAATTTTTAATATTGGATTAAATTTGCTTTCGTAGCTCACAAGTAGAATGGAAAATGCTGAGGAAAACTATGATAAGTTTGGTTTGGAGGCAAGTGAAGTAAAGAACCGTTCAGGATGGACCACACTTGCTGTTCGCCCACAAAATTTTGTGAAACATTTCAGGTAAGGATAGCAATGAGTAGCACTTGGTGAAGTAGGGCCAAAAGAAATATGTGGGTTCTCGACTCTACCTAGCTTTTGGACGCTGAAAATTCAAGTGGAAAAATTCTTTCTGACTTACCCTACCTAAAAAATCTGACCTACCCTACCTAAGTTTTTACAAGAAAAAATAGGAAACCCACATATTTTTGGCCTAGTTAGTACTATTTAAATTATTATCATTTTCACAAAATATTTGATTTTCTCACTGAATTCCAAATTCAGCTGGGCCAGTGTTCACAATGACATCAAAATCTGAGTTTTATGTTGTGTTTTTCATGTAGTGGTCTATGCCCACTGTTTAGTGGCTACCAACAACATGACGCCCAAGAATTTTTACGATCATTCCTCAGTCTCGTTGAAGAAGAATGTGTTGGTCTTGTAAGAGGTGAACAGCAAGAGAATGTTAAGGGCAGCGTCAGCATTGCCAACAACGAGTCGAAAGTCCGAGGTGGATGCAAATACCCCAGTACTATCAACAGTAGTGTTGCCATGGAAACTGAAGGGGAACCAACCAAGGCAATGGTTACAGATGAATCCAGCAGAACACAACCCAACAGTGAAGTAGGTTTGAACAACACTGGGGGGTCTTCCAATCTGCAAACTGCTACATTCAAATCTTTACAAAAGGGAACGGCACCCAGTCCAGATAATGTAAACATTGTGAAATGCTTATTCGAAGGAACACTACTGTTGCAAACATGCTGTTTGAATTGCGAAGGACTTCGTCAACGTTACGAGAATTTTCAAGATATAAGTGTACCAGTGCAGAACGCTAAATCTGAGAATAACGAAGGGCATGGAAACAACCTTTCCGATTCAGAAGATGAGTCTGATCAAGGCCTCAACCTGTCGTGGGCAATATCGAAATTTGCATCCATAGAACGCTTGTACGGTGATAATAAATATTTCTGTGATAACTGCGCAACTTTGACCGAGGCTGACATCAGTACATATTTTGAGAAGCTTCCACAAGTCCTTACCATTCATTTAAAACGGTTTCAAACTTCGTATGGGTAAGTGGTTTCATTCTTGGAAGTGTTTACCATGCCTAGAATAGCAAGTTATTTTCTTGTTCTGTGACAAACTTGATTATTACATATATACATAACCAACTTGTTATTAGTTTCGTGCTGTGAGCTGCGTTCACTCGATCTAAAGCCCGGTTTACACTATGTGTTTAACCTAAGTCAGTTCCCTCGAATATTTCTCACATATCCTTCAAAACTTTACCCATGTAAAATTCATACTGTGATCACAAAAACTTTGATAGGATAAACCAACTTTAACTTCGTGTAGTCTTCTTCAAGAAATTGAATAATTTTGTTCTCTTTTTAGCAACCAGAGTCTGTACACAAGCAGCTGGGTTACCAAAGTTACAAAGAGCTTGCACACGCCACAGCAGCTCTCTTTGAAGAAATGGTGTAGCGAGACATGCTCAGAGAAGAATGCAGTCTACTCCTTGTTTGGTGTAGTTATGCACAGTGGGATGTCTTCATGTAATGGCCATTATCTGAGTTATGTCAATGTTGATGTTTTAAAGAGACAAGCTGACGGCGGAATGAATAACAATGGTGGTTGCTCTTCCGAAGTTCATTGTAAAACAGTTGGTGAAAAAGCGATGCAAGATGATGACAGTTGCATCAAGATGGTTGACCAATGTTACAACGCCCAAGTTCCAAGAAAGAGTAGTGGTGGGAATTCTCGAGATCCAAGTGTCAAATGTGGCTCATGCCAAAGCAGTGCTACAAAGGCTAGCAGTTTAAACAGTCCTAGAAAGGATGATGGCGTAATGTGCCATTGCAAAATAGATGCAAATGATAGTACAAGCAATTTTTGCAAGAAAGATATCCGCAGTATGTGTGATGGAGCAAAATGCCACTCGCAAAGGAAGGTGGAGGATAGCAAGGTTGAAGAGGAAAATGGAGATTTGTGTTGTGAAGAAATCATGGACCTTGATGATGAGGACACATGCGACTACTCAGAACGTGTGAAGGGTGCTGGACAAACTTCCACGAGTCAAGATATAGAAGACACACAGAATGGAACGAACACACTGCGTCACAGTAAGACGCCCTCACGGAAGAGCAGTAGAAATACCATGAAGAACGACCATGATTCGGACAGTTCTTCAGACGAAGATGACAGCGTATGGAGTATGGACATCACAAGGTACTTCAAACCAATACCAAAATCTCAAGGCTCCACAAAGAAACCCTGCAGGAATATCAACATGTCTGCCAACCAAGGCTGCACGCTCGAGACAAGGTCTAAAAAGTTGAGATCCCGGAGTGGAAAGAATGAAAACGATTCATGTTCACAAACCACAGATACTGTTAAGAATGTATTGAAGCCAGAAGGGAGCGTGCAAAAATCACAAGGTTCTGCCTTTAGTGCTTTCGAGAAACCTCCATCAACGAACATGAGTCAAGAGTCGTTGAATGAAGAAAGTAGTAATCCAAACCATTCATGTTCACAAACCACAAATACTTCCAACAATGTACAAGAGTCAAAAGGTGCCTTGCAAAAGTCTTCGGGTGAGTGCTCCGCGTTTGAGAACTACTGTGCTTCAAGAAACAAAGTACAAAACAGACACTCCTTCGGTGAAGAAGTAGCTGACCAAGATAGGTCGTGTACGCAAACGACAGAAGATGCAGAACAGAGAAATGAAGACGGTGGTCACAGCTCGCAGTCTTCCATGATGCTGGATATGGAACCAAGCGATGAACTGTGCACGGATGATGAGAAAACAGATGACTTTATGAAGAGAAATGGTTTGAACGAGCGACATAGTCAAGATCAATCAAACACAGACAGTGGTACAAATGATAATATTGATTCCGACAAAGGTTCCTGTTCCAATGGAAGCACAGACCACGTGGCCCGTCAAGATACCCATAACACAAACCACGCGGAACCTTCCACCACAAACAGTTTTACATCATCTTGTGATGGGAAATTATCAACATGTGAAGACACTTGTAATTCGAGCAACAATAAGGGTTCAAATACATCTACCACGAGTTCCACGTGGTTAAAATTCGACGACGCTGAAGTACAAGAAATCCGTGCTAAGGACATGGAAGAAATATTATCACCCTCAACTTCTTGTTATTCAACGCCGTACTTGCTATTTTACTATCGTTGTTAATCATTTTGTTCATAATCATATTATTGTAATCTTGATTGATTAACTATTAAAATTTACATTGGTTACGTAGTTTATTTTGAAAAGCATACAGATAAGTCTTTCTTCATATATCTACGATACTCTCCTAATTAGGCCTGTTTTATACGTCGAATTTCGGTCGCGTCGAATATTCAATTCAAACAATAGATAATCAATCTTAATTAACGAGGTTTACATCTCATCTATTGTCTTAATTGTATTCGACGCGACCAAAATTGGACGTATAAAACAGGCCTAAATCATGGTTAGCGTTCAATATTCAGCCTTTAAAATTATTTTTTCTTTCTCTAAGTTTTCCCATTGTTTTCACAGGATCATTTGTACCACAGAATTCTTGAACTGATTTATCACTAATAAAAAATTGACAATGTTAAAATATATCGCTCACAATGTTATTAATTAATTTGTGTCGGATCTTGGGTAGAAACTGAAAGTAATGTGAAACATTTGACAAAAGATCCTGACTTACCCAACTCTCATAAAAGGATTATATTCCATTTCTTCTGCTATTGTTGAAGGAACTGTTGGCTCCTTTGCAGCTCTCTGGTTCTGAAAAAGATGGCACAATAGTGAACACGTTCTTTGTATGATTACATGGTGATGTTTGCATGATTACATGGTGATAATATGATGTACACACCGTGTTATCCAGAAACTAGCTGTATATAAAACCTACCTTGCACCATTCCAACTTGTTTTTCACAGTTGTGTTGTTTGGCTCAACATGTTGAGCAAACATGAGCGATTTAACTGAATATTCGTGACCACAGTACACTGACTAAATAAGGTCAAGAAAAATTACATCAATACCATCCTGCCCAGTACAGTATTTGTGATACAACCCAGAAGATACAGGTGTGGTAGATTCTAGGTGGTCAGCAACCCAGCATGATGCTATTGCAATGTGCAAAGCGCCTGTAAACTATTTTGCAAACCATGCACCTTTATCCACCAGCTAAAATCTGTAGCACCAGCTTGCATTTGCCCCCAAATTGAATGTGGCTGACTCTGTCTTTAAATATTCAATCACTCACTGTTGCTGCTGGTAATTTTCCAAGAATTTCAATCAATGCCTGGTACATTTGTTCTTGTGTTCCTTCAAAAAATTTCCCACAACCTGATAAAAATAATGTGTCTCCTGCAAAAAAATATTGAACTCTTTTGAAAATACATCCATGGTTGCCAGAATTTGTAAAGTAAATGATTAATACATGTGTCACCACAGAGTGAAGGTACCGGCAGCTGTCACACCAATATACTCTGTATTCTGGATGTTACCAACCTGTAAAAACAGCCCCAGGTTTGTCCACGTCAGCAGTGATGTAATAACAAATGTGTCCAGAGGTGTGACATGGTGTGAATAGACACTTGACATCAAGATTGCCAATCTAAATATTATTTTGTTACTATGGACATATCAACAGTCTCATATAAATCAGCCAAACATTGGACCAATACGAGGTCAAATCCAGAGTACTTTCATCTACAGGGTAAATTGGGCTACATCATTTAAGATTTGATCACATAAGGGTGTGGTCTCAATATGTGTCAACGGGGTGAAATCCAAATAGACCAAAGATGTAGTTTTTAGGATATTGCAGACAAATTCTTCATTTTCCGACAACTTGTTTTCAGGGGGAGGTGTTGCATCCTGAACACCCGACGGCCCTGCCAGAACAGTTAACTGTACCTTAAACTCGTCATTGTGTGAAACTTTCTTTGTCAAGGCTCCAATCCTGTCGTCACCGCCATACACAGGTAACCCAGGAACTAGTTTTGCAAGTTCTTCATTTCCTCCGGCATGATCCCTGAAAGATTACGACTATTAAATATTTATTAAAGAAAACTAAACAATATCATCTGGAGTTTCATGACATACCAATGATGATGTGTTGTCAAAGCAGTCTTTAACTCAACTCCTTCCTTTTCTACTGCTTTTAAAACCTGACAAAGTTGAAATGAATGCTGTGAGAGATGCTGTGCTCCAATATGCCCTACTTTACTATGCTACTCTGTCTAACACCAGGCAATTTTACTTGTCAAGAGAAGAGTGCTAGCATTAATGGGCTAATGTCACCATAGCTAATATTTTTCAATAATACTACCTTTTTTGGTTCAACTGGATCAACGATTGCTGCTTCCTTTGTTTTGTCGTCAATAATCAAGTACATGAAGTTGTCTTCCAATGCAGGGAGTATTTGCACACGCATACTGCCGTGGTTCACAGTCTTGATGTTGGAATGCATTCTGGTTTGGGTCAATGTTTGACAGTTTTGAATGAATGGTACCAGAGCTACAGGAAGGAGATTGACATTTTGTTTAATATCAATACACCTTCCACAGGTTAACTACATGTCATTAATGAGGTTAGCCCCTTGCCTGTTACAGCAACATGCTCAGCCAATATATAGCTCAACCATGCATTATATATACAAGCTAAGGTTAGTTTTTTATGCAAATACCTAATGGTGAATTATGTATGCCTGACGTCAGTGTTGTCAAGAGCATCACATGCTTAAGCTCACTATCTTATTACCATTTAATATTAATGAACACCACCTAGGTTAGCCAAGCTGGGTAGCTGGGTGTACATCAGCTGGTAAGCCCTTGGTAGGTCAGTTTAGCAACCAATGCCATACTGGCCTGCCCTCTTTAAGTTTTACTATTATTGTCATGATTTTGCCAATATCTCACCAATATATCCTGATTTCCACAGATTATCTTGACTTCTAATAAACTGTTTACTTTTTCTAACAAAAACACCAAAAATTCGAGCTTTACAGAACATCACCACTCGATCTCTGGGGTGTTGAAGGACTGGGGCGGCTGACCAGCTCAGCAAATATGGCGGTCATTTTTGAGAATTTTCGCTTGACCTTGCTGGAAAAATATGGCAATCATTTTGTTTCTTTTCGTGGAAAGCACAGGTTAAAGTGCTAGAACCATGTCTAAAGACACGGAGAATGAAACAAGTCAGCAAGATAAAGGAAATTTAAGGGGAGAAGTTTTGTTGAGTGGTTTTATTAAGAAAGCTTTGCTTGCTTTTACTCAGGTACTGCATGTCTGCTTTGTATGCAGTATAGATATAAATATACGTGAGATATGAATATATTGTTAATATGTCTCTTATTACGATTGTATCACCTTTATTTTGTAACAATTTTTGATGCTGCTCAATGTCAGAAATGTTAAAACGAACACGAGAAGAAAATTCAATTGTATCCCTAGTTTTGTTTATTTGCCACAAAACACAAGACTATTACACATAATGACAATATTTAACATGATTTTTGTGCTCTGGTAGAACGTCCAAAGGGGTAGGGAGTGTAACTTCCAATTTCTTCAATGGGGGTGGGGGTGGTGTCATTGTTATGGTTCATGAAAGGGAATATTAGTATTGAGGTATAAATAACATTTCTGAAATAGGGAAAGACTAAAGATTATGACAGTCTGGTTCAAAAACTAATAATTTGTAAGGATAAGGTAAGTGATCAAAATACCCTTGAGATAATTGCTGATAGTGGTGATGGTAATGGTGGCGGTCGTAATTGTGATGGTTATAGAGTTGTGGTGATAATGGTGATGGTGGTGATGATGGTGATGATTATGTTGGATATGGAAATGTCAGATGATATTGTCAGTGGTGGTGTTCATGATGGTAGTGGTGATGATGATGGTGATTGTCATGGTGGTGATGGTAATGGTCATGTTGGTTATGGTTATGTTGGTTATGGTTATGTTGGTTATGGAAATGATCAATATTGTCAGTGGTGGTGTTCATGATGATGGTGGTGATGATGATGGTGGTGATGATGGTGGTGATCCTAATGGTAGTGATGATGGTATAGTTAATGGTGATGATGGTAATAATGGTCAAAGTAATATCATGATAATTGTGGTGATGATGATATTGGTGATCATGTAGTGATGGTGATTATGAGGTGACATATTGACAAGGGTGGTATTGTCAAATACGTTGTGTGTTTAAACTCTCTACTCAATCTTTGGAACTCTAGCCTGCTGATATGAGAAAGTATTTGCATGGATTGAAGAACTGTATTTCCAGTTTGACCAAGGAATATGACACCCTGGTTGGTGCTGCTTTAGTAAGTTTCTTAGAAATGAAAGTAGATGGAGGGGGTGTTGGGGGGGTCAAAGAACAAACTTAGTGAAGGAAGGTAGGATTGAAGAACTGTATTTCCAGTTTGACCAAGGAATATGACAAAAGGAATGGAAGGAAAGGGAGATTGAATGCGAGAGAAATGAAAGATTAAAGATGAAAGAGGAAAATGAAAAGGCCGTATGGAAGATGAGAAACAGGAACGTACAAGAAAGAAAGGGGAAAATGAACAGAAGGAGAAATAACTAAGAGAATGATGATAGGATTAAATGGAAGATAAAGTTTGAATGAAATTATGAAAGAAAACGAAATACTTGAGACATGAACGAAGACAAAAGATTAGTGGAAAATTCATGGAATGTTTGATGAAATAAACAAATGTTACAAATAGGGATGAGCCGATAAGGAAAATTGCCGATTACTGAGGCCGATTATTTATTAGCTGATTATTGTAACTAATCGGCCGATTAATCGGCACCCGCCGATTATTTTACAAAGCAAGTGAAAAATCACAAGATGACCAACAATGAAGTTGTAAATGCGGTTTTATTGTTTACAATACACATTATGTACAACTGAAAACAGCTTCAACTTGCATGTCAATAGCCAAAGTTTAGTTTTGGCATATTATGGTGTAAAAACAGGATATTTTCAGCTATGCGGAGCTAGTCTGCTGCGTTTTTCAGTGGATTGAAATGTTCCCAGCTTCACTTTGCTCGAGACAAAAGACACAGGTTTTGCAATAAAATGTGAAAATCTATTCGTTTGTATTCAGTATTTTAGCATGTGCTTGGCAGCTGCAGAAAAAGTCTTATGGCCGATTATCAAGCAATAATCGGCCGATTACCGATTATTTAAAAAACGGCCGATTAATCGGCTTTGCCGATTATTTACCGATTAATCGGCTCATCCCTAGTTACAAACCAAGCTAAACAATCTCTTTCTTTTCCATAATATTGTAGTCTCTGCCTTGGTCAGATAAGGAAGACGAAACAGTGGATGAATTTGTGGACTTCCTGATGAACCTTGTTTCATCTCAAACTTACTATCTTCATGCTTGTCTCAAGATGTTGATCAAGAATTTCTCACCATGTAATGATTTATACTCGCTTTCTTGATTGTTTTAAAAGTCTTATAAGACTTGAAGTCTTATAACCTTTACACTATTCCGGATAGCTTTTCGTAGCGGCGCGAAACCTATCCGATATGGAATGTACAACGTTCAGAAGCTGAGTGAAACAACATCTCTCCGTTGCAAAAATTCCTCTGAAAATAGCGTTCCTAAAAGATACGGTTAGGTGTGTTTTCACGTCGTTACGGAAAGGTATCTGGTACAGTGTGAACGTAGCCTAGATCAATCAAATTGATTTAATTTTTGTGTTTAGATGTCAAAAAGGGATCAACGTTGGAGGAAATTGACTTAGATGGTAGGTAACACTCGCTAGATCAACATAAACGCAACCAAAAATAGCAGTGTCCGTCTCATATTCATGCCAGAAGGCGTAGAGATGCATTTTTCACAACTGCCCCTGGTTAGATCTAAAAATGGTATATAGTCTTCTGCTCAAAACATTCATCTACAAGAAGTCGTCAACTGTTCGTTCCATCGAGCGAGATGCCTAAAGAATCACGATATTAACTCAGCAAATGTCTATTACAGTACATAGTTAATTCAATGTGTTCATTTGTAGAACAACAAAAGCGATTTCAAAATACCCACAAAGCGTTGCAAGTTGTTGTCGAAATTGTTCCAACGTAAGTCAACCAAACGCCGTGAATAGATCTTTTTAAAAAGTTTGCCTTCTGACACAGTTTGCGGAGAAATACGATCATCCGAAAACTACGTCACAAGGCAGACTTTTTAAAAAGGTCTATTTTTGAGATAACCTTTGGGGTTAAAACGCCATTCTATATAACACTTCAGAAGCGAGAAACTATACTTAACTCTGTTTATTTTGCTCCAAATACAAAACATATAAAGAATTAACGTTATTTTAGCACGCTGATAATCGTTAGTTGGCCTCTGTCTGCTGCACGACAGTGCTTCCAGTAATCTGTGAATATTAATCTTATGAAATTGTCAAATAAACAATTGTGATTTTACTTTCCAGAGCTCCAGCGTATTTGTTACCAGTGATAGTCCAGGGGTATCTCTATCTGAAGAGATCAGTGACGCACCATGTAAGATTGACTATATAACCGGAACGATAGGTGTTAGTTTAAATGTTGAACTGTAAATTTACCATTATAAAAACAACTAGAATACTAAAAAGTTGTATTTCGTGGTGCTGAGACTCTCAAACGTGAGAGAGGCAGTACCCCAAAAAATGGCTGGGAAATGGGTCGTAAAGGCCGTTTTCCACTAGGCGGAATTTTCTGCGCGGAGCGGAATTTCTCTTTGTCTTTTCTAATTAGTTCCACCCGAGAAATCACAAGACAAAGAGAAATTCCGCTCCGCGCGCAAAATTCCGCCTAGTGGAAAACGAAATGATCATGCATTTCTGCACAAAACATGCTATTATTTCGAATACTGAAACTATTTTCCTCCAGAATATGTTTTGATCACCATCTTTCATTCTATATTTTCACCAGGAATTTTATGTGAAGAATTTGCTTGAACTTTCGGAGTACGTCCCCAGTTTACACGAAGATATTTTGGAAGTGATTTGCAGTCACTTTCTGAAGATTGACGTAAGTCTAAAATCGTCGTTGCTTTAATGAATGAACGTGTTAAAATAAATGAATGGATTTGCTTTATTGGTGAAAATTGTTGAATGAATGAAGATGATGGTAATGGCGAGACTTTGGTGACACAGTAGTCAGAGCTTGCGTCTTTCAACTCTGAGTTCGTGGGTTCGATTCTCGCTACGGACTCATGTGAAAAGAGTCAATCAACGCTCTGCCGAAAGTCGTGGGTTTTCTCCGGGCGCTCCGGTTTCCTCCCACAGGGAAAGTTGACAGGGTGAGTTAGGATAAACACAGTTAGGAACGTTATGTCACAATTGTTGTAAAGATAAATAGTCTAGGTTAAGTATGTAATTAGGTAAGCGTAATAGTAATCGGTGGTGTTGATGGTGATGATGGGAGTACTGATGGTGATTATACTTGTAGTAAAGCTGTAAAGGTGATGATGATGGTGATTATTTCTGAATAATTGAATATATAATTGTTGATGACGTAGGTTGAAATCCCAAAACAAGAACTGGAAAATGCACAAGATGATATCACACAGTTTGATGTCGAATTGGTAAGTATTAGCATACACACGAGAGAGTGAAAAGATTCAAAACACCGAAAAACTAGATTGAACTGGTACACTAGTATCTGTAGTAACTGTAAGTGACTAATTAGAACGAGGGAAAGCGTAGTTGGAACACACAATTTATTCTATCATTAAAAAACGCCAATATTCTTGACGCGATCCTACAGGAGCCTGATAGTGACGAAGAAACGACGAAAACTGAAGACGAAGAAAAGACTGAAAAAATGCAGAACGAAATGGCGGAAAAATTAGATATTCTTATGAATATGGTGTTTGAATATATTAAGAAGGCTTGTTATAATGAAGGTATGAGCTGTAAAACAGATCTAGATTTACCAACTTCCCGAATTTCCTGTGAAACACATGTAGATAATTTAGACTTCAATGATCTTGTTTCTTGCACTTCACTTGGTGGAATTAATATTAGAATGCTGTTTTTAGGGTTAGTAATCCAAGTGAGTATATATACACTTTTAAGACCTGACCAGGACAACCGGCACACCCGATCACCTATATATACATGAACTTACGGTTACAGCTCAACAGCTGGCCTCTGTAGCTCAGTTGGTTAGAGCGCTGCACCGGAATCGCAGGGCCGTAGGTTTAATTCCTACCAGAGGACCTTGTGCTGCTTTTTTCGCAGTCCTTCCTGGTCAGGTCTTAAAAGTGTATTATATACTCACTTGGATTACTAACCCTAAAAGCAGCATACTAGTGCAGATAATTTACCATTATTAATTTAACTTCCCGATGAAAGGCCTTCGCTCGAATCTTGTTACCAAACCATTTGCTGGGAGTTCTCTGACGGGCTGTAAAAACCAAGTCCTATACTACTTCCAATGTGGTGACTCTACCAAACACCGCATGTTTTATAAAGGATTGGTAGTACATCTAAAGGAAGAACAGTATAGAACTGACAGCGAGAAATTCAATCACATTGATTTAGGGTGCGCACAACTCTTTGGCATTTTTTTCTTTAGAAAAATATAACCTGGATTCTGCATCAGATTTGTTCGACAAGTTACTTGAGGTATTACATGGTTTTACTGTTGATTGAACATACCAGCTATGGCGCAATCTTCTCACGCGTGACTGTTTGCAGAAGTGAACAGCAAATATTTTTCTGTACATATAAAAGATTTGTATAGTATTTCCACTTTTAAAAAACATGATAGAATTTTTGCTAAGAAGATAATCTCTATACGTCGCATAATACGCTCATTCAAGTAAAATATTGTATTTATTTCATTACTGTTTGAGGTGACCTCGCTAGATAAGCCCAGTGGTTTCATGAGCTCTCCTCGCCAACAGCTATTTTCTTTTGTTCTTTTCTTTGTAATTGTATTGTATATGCCTATGGCGAATTAATTAAAGTTCTCTTTCTTTTAGGTGTTTTTAAAAGTTGTATTTCCAACTCACGATTCTTGTCATGTACAGTTTTTGATATTTTATATTTGTAGCTTTGACCAGGTTCGTCTTTTTTAAACTTTCTTCCTATTTTGTATCCGCTTTTATATTCCAACTACGCTTTTAAAACCATTTCATTTTTCCAGATTTTTGTAAATAAATTTCTTGAAGTTTGCTGGACAAAGGTAGGTAAATGTTATTTATCTTGTGATATAAGGTCAAGGGAAACTTGTGGTGTATTAAAAGATGTCAAATCTTGTTCTTATGAAATAATTTGCCTTGATGATCGGAAACCCCGTTTTCTCTGATCACCGCAACTGTGGGTGCTCACCATACACCCTCTCGACGAAGGATTTCAAATTCACAACGAGAATTGCTTATATAGCGTGGGGCCGGTTGTCCAAAGACTGATCAGCGCTAACCCTGGGTTAAATTTTAACCTGCTGTTTTTGGTTATGTATAGAAGCATGATGATAGAAAATAAAACCTCTATTGAACCAGAAAAGATTTCTGGAAAAACATAACTTGATTGATGAGCTGTTGGAAAATTTAATTTGTAGAACGACCAGTTCCAATATAGTGTATTCACCATGAAAAGAATTTCACCAAATCTTTACTTTCTTTTAGTTTCAAGACCCCAATACCCCACTCATTCTACGACAAATAGCCGCGGCGTATATTGGTAGCCTGGTAGCTAGAGCTAATTATATTACGTTAAGGTACTGTATTTGTGAAATTCATGGATAATCAATAACCCTTGCACCCAAAAATATTAACCCTGTTAATATTTTTCAGGCAGTTAGACCAAGCTCGCAAATACTTTAACTGCTATACATACACCGGAACCCAACACTTAAATGAACATTTCAAACTCAATAATTCACGAGTACATTAGCCAACCATATTGCTTTATTTTGCTCACGTCAGTCACATGATAATACTGGATACCTCATTCAAATCCTCCAATCCTCAGCTTCGTCTTGGACTTGATCAAATTGAGAGGACTTGAAATCTAGTCCAGTCCGAGGATTTGAAATATTACATATCGTTTATTGTAGTGTTGTACAGACGTGTTTGGAGTTGCTGGTGAACTGGATTCATGGGTAAGTATGATTTCACTTGCTAGCCATTACAACATTTGCGATTAAGATTTCTAAAGTATTGCGCAAATTTCTATGTGGGTATAATCAAATGCGCTTTACATCAAGTATTATACGCTTACCTAACTACATACGTACACGGCAAAAAACTCCGAGCCCGCTGTGACAACTATGAACAATGTGGGCATTTTATCTTTACAACAATTGTGATATTAGTTTCTTAACTGTGTTTATCCTAACCCACCCTGTCAACTTTCCCTGTGGGAGGAAACCAGAGCACCCGGAGAAAACCCACGACTTTCGACAGAGCGTTGACTCACTCTTTTCACATGAGTCCATAGCGAAAATCCAACCCGCGATCTCAGAGGTGAAAAGACGCTTGTTCTGACGACTGTCACTGGAAACCCCACTTAAAATCAAAAGCTTTCTAACTCATGTGAATTTTTTGTTGTTAGTTATATTGATGAGTTTGACAGCACATCTGGGAAACCCGATGTGAATAAGCACGGTCATTTTTACTCCCTTTGTCAAGTAAGCGAGATTTTTGTAAAAATCGAATACTTCTGAAGTCTTGGAATTTTTGTCTTCAAATAAGTGCTGACATGGTCATCTTTAAACTAGCACGATTTTGATAAAGTTTCAAAGTATTTTTAATTTATCTAGGCGATATTCTACATTTTCGTGTTTTGTCACCCTCAATTACTGGGACACAAAGATGGTAATTTGCATAAAAGTTTGCGCTGCTTGTTCCGAGCTTGTTGGCAAGTTGTCAATGGCTTGTTGACAACTTAGTATAAGGTTGTTGAGCTCAACAGACTTGTTACAAGTTGTTCCAACAATTTGTTATCGTCCTGCAACCTGATAAAATAACAGCATTGTTACAACTTTTTGACAAGCTTGCTACAAGCCTGTTGCAACACATCTTATTGACAAGTTGTGAGATTTTTACGTGTTGTATTATTCTGTATTTTGAAACTAAAGGTATTTTTATTTAAAGAAATCGCTTTCTTTTGCAGGAATTAAATTTGTGCGGCGTCTGAACTTTGAGAGAATTGTAACATGTAAACTTAATCCTTTGAAGGTGCGTCCACATTTTTGTGCAAAGAAAACTCGTCTTTTCTACTCTCTATATTGTCTGCTACTGTATATCTTGGATTTTTCAAGATGGGAAATTGGGCAACGCAGGGATTTTTATCTTGTTTTAACAGCTTCTATTGGCAAAACAATTCAATGATTTTCAAATTCTTTTTTCAAGGTTTGTCTTTCCACTGTTGTAAAAATGTTCGCTCTTGTAACAAGGTAAAAATAGAAAAATAATTTAAACTTGTTCAGTAGTCCAAATTTTAAATTATGATTTTGTTTTTCATAGGACAAACGAGGTTGTATTTTGCTACACCATTATTGAGAAGAATAACCGAAGTATTTTACCTGTCGCCTCCTCATCATTCTCTTCATCTGTAGCTAAGCTTAGTTTACTCAATCAGTTGGACTCATTTTTCCCATTTGATCCTTACTTCTTGAAGAGGTAGGAAGCTATTGATTCTTGAATAGTTAAGAACATACGAATTCTAATCTAATCACTGAATCTAATACGTTTCCTCCATAGGTATCTTATATATATACACTAGATAGTGCATCTAATTACTCTGCAATTCAAAAATTGAAGTCGTGATTGCAGACTCAGGATATTCCCATGAAATGAGAAGACTCGTGTGTTTTCTATTTCTTAAACAGGGAACTTAAACATTAAGTTAAACCTATTCCAAATACATTTTTAAACTATTCAAATGATGAAAGTTGTTGTTTTTTAAGCGTTTATTAGCGAGTGAAGTACAAAATTTCGACTTGAAACTTCCATTTAGTCCATTTACAAAACCCTTGTGCTTTGTTTCGCCAGGTCTCGGAAATGTATCGTTGATATTTACCGTGAATGGGAGGACCTAGAGCCTGATCATGATGAAGTAAGTCTACATACTGTATTTAAGCTCGTTACAGACGAGCAAGGTTTCTATGACAAGTTTTTATGTGACAACTTTTAATTATTTGCTCGTCTGTACGCGCAATTAACTTTGACATTTTTTTCTATGACTTGTGCACTTGTTCAAAAGCTAGCATGCTAGCTTTTGAACAAGTGCACTTGTCATAGAAAAAATTGTCAAAGTACAAATATTGTTCGTCTGTATGGGTCAACAAAGAAAACTTGTCAAAATAATCTGAGCATTTGATGTGATTGGTCAGCTGGCTACTAATAAATGCTCAAAGTAAACTTGTTGATACGTTCACACCAGTAAATAAAACTTGTCATATAAAATTTGTTGCATATACACACGTGCACTTGGCAAATAAAACTTGTCACATAAAAACTTGTCATAGAAAACTTGCTCGTCTGTAACCAGCTTTACACTGTCAGAGAGGTTTAGATAGGAACAAACTTTTCCTTGGTAGAGATGCATTGATGCAACTGCCTGAAAAATACAAGGAGAATTTCGACGTTTCCAGCGAAGGCCCTTCGTCTGGAGTTAACTCTAAAAGGTAGTTGCATACCTACCAAGGAAAGCTTGTTCATATTATTGCCACTACCTACACTGACACAGACAATTCAAGGTTTAGATATGACTACCACTAAAGGGAGCATTGGCAACCAACAACGGCAGAAAACAAAGTTACTTCCAGTTTTGAATTCGAGCCAAAGCGTACTTTACTAAACTTTAATTGCCTCTTCAAGGAACATATCTTTCTTTTGAACGAGCTTTAAGTAACAATAGTTGGTGAAATCATATATAGAACTGTCCAAAATCTTCCCAACCTCAGTGTAAAACTAACAACTTAAAACATGATTTGATCTTCTGGAATACAGGATGAAGAAAATGATGATTACCTGGATCTTGGCAAGACTCCAGAATCTCTACCTATGACGTCACTCAATTCATTGAGTGGAATGTCGATATCTCCTGGGTTTACCAAGACTTGACATATGCAGAAGAAAATATCTAAACATCTGTCAAGTCTCTACCTATGAGATCCCTCATTTCATTCAGTGCAATGTCGATATCTCCTGGGTTTAGCAAGACTTGACGTATGCAGGAGAAAATAGCAAAACCTCTGTCCAGTTTCTACCAATGACATCCCTCAATTCATTGAGTGGAATGTTGATATCTCCTGGGTTTAGCAAGACTTGACGTATGCAGGAGAAAATGATGACTAACTAAACATCTGTCAAATCTCTACCTATGGCTTATTCATCTTGTGTATTTTCTGGGTTTAGCAAGGTTTCGTGTAAACTATGCAGTAGACGCAGATCGCTAAGCACCACCTGATTGAAGAAGCTTGTTATCAGAGTGAGAAAATGAGTATCTATATAACACTTAACAACGGTTTACCTCAACTCAAGGTTTGTTGTAAACCCTACATTGTTTCAATCAAATGTGAGATATTGAGTTGTACAGGTTTATACCACTCATTTCAACTTCACACTGAAGGGGGTTGATGTTAGATATTTTGTAAAGATGTGTGACAAAATCAAAGTCATCCCTATAGTGCAAAGTAGTATGGGCACTCAACTTATTCCCAAACTGAAGGCTGGTTTTACACTATCAAAGTTTTGCATAGGTAAAGTTTTGAAGGATTTGTAACAATTGTTTAAGGAAACTGACTTAACATTGAGTCAGTTTCCTCAAACATTTCTTACAATCCTTCGAAACTCAGAATTTGCCCATGCAAAATTCCTACTGTGTGAAACTGTGTAAACCAGGCTAAGGCAACAAAAAACACAAGACTAAACTGTAATAAAATATTTATTGTATTTTTGTTACATGCCATGGCTGTGCCTCTTCTGTGATACAAATTGAAGAGAAAAGATTTTATTTTAATGAATTGTTTTTGATTAGACAAAATAAGAATGTTAGGATTATATGTGTGGGTAAGGCTCAACATAGTTCATATAATACAAGCCAGACCTATTATTCCCAATGTCCATTAGTTTATGTTTGGAAACTAATACCTAACTATAAACAACTATATTGTGTCTTTTTACAACTAGGTTAAAATCATCAATGTAGATCATAAGATCACATGTTTTCACTTGAAATATTCACAATCCAGTGAGTGTGTGGTTCAGAACCATTTCTAAAAACTGGCAACATAAGATGTTGATTAGCAATATGACAAATTGATTCTTTGGGTATGCATGTAAAAATCAACATATATTTTACAAGAAAGCTTCAGATTGATAGGGATAAAACTACCTGAAAAATACAAGGAGAACTTCAATGTTTCGAGCGAAGCAAGTTTGTCAAAAAGTCATAGCAATGATAAGAAATTTGTCAGATTGGTGCAAACCACTGACAAGCAAATGCTACACTAATAGACAGTGGCGGTAATTCACTTTTTCTGGTGGGGGTGGCAAGGCCTCCTAAATTTCCGACAAAACTTTCAAATTTCCGACGTATCCCCCCCCCCCTTTGCACTCGAAAAGACTGTTTTTAGCCCTCTTTTAGGTCAAAATTTCTGAAAATTCGGCAATATTCTGTGAAGGTGGGGGGACCCCACCAAGATTTCCGCCACTGCTAATAGATCATTAAACCAGGGTAGCAAACACATGTTTGTATAAAACCTACTTGTTCATAGTTGATTTGAACCACACCAGTTTGGGAAGTATCGTGTTTTCTGAAAGCATCAGTCAGTGTCTTCAACATGACGCAACATTGAATAAAGTCGTCAAATTTCATGCTTCTTGTGACTGTACGATCAAATTTTCTCACACATAAGTCTGTGAACTGTGGCGACCTAAGAATTGACAACATGTATTTTTAATCTTATTCACATATGCAAGACACATGCATTGGTTGCTACTCAAAATCAATACTGTATGAACTCATAAAGGAACATAAAAAACAAAGACAAATATGGCCAAGTTTCTAGACAATTTCTTGATAACAACAGACAGAAAGTCGTCAAAAGTTACTTACAAACGATAGCCAAAAGAAGAAAAAGCAACATTGAGTTCTTGAGCATCGATTGTTCCTGAACGATCTGTATCAAACCTTTTTTAGAAAATCAAGAAATGTTTTTACATTGTAAAACTCGTATTGTTGACTGGCTGCATGCATCGTGTATTTACTTGTACACTGGTACATTACTAAATAGTTAGTATTTATTTGAAAAATATTTACTAACCTGTCAAAACAATTTTTCCATTCTTGAATATACTTCCACAGTGCAGCAAATTCGTGAATATCAATAGTTCCCGATCTGAAGATTAATTTTTTAAACTATTTGTCATGTACACTGTATATTTACTTTTTGTGCAGTAATAAAAAAATAATTTGCAGTTAGTCTTGTGAGCAAAGCAAGCAGGTTAGGGACTGTGTAGCTTGTGACAGGGAACCAGGCTACCAGGGGAAACTTTTTGCCTGAGAAACTTTTGGCAATATGAAACATAACTCAGAGCTGGGATTAGATCAATAAAAAATTTGGCCACAGAACAGGAAACCACAGAAAGTTTGAAACGAAAATGTTGTAGAAAAGAGGCCCCTATTAATTCTGGTGGGTAAATATTGCAAAAAGATATTGGGAAAATTGAAATTTTCTACTATACTAGTGGCACAAGGCTCTTCCAATGGTGACCGTGCTTAATTTACGAGTATTTGGACAGTTTGTTTCTGTTGGCCAGACCCACCTGTCTTTATCAAACATGCCAATCATAAGACGACACGTTTCTGCATTGAATTGCGACCAGTTGCCATTAAGCAATGCTCTCTGGAGTTCATCTGCAGATATACCTCCTGAATTGTCTTGATCCACAGCCTAAAGTGAAACAATTTAATGAAATTGCTATAGAATTTGGCATCCCTTATTGATCCAGTGATAGTACAAGAGGAAATTTTAAGTATTCACTTTATTTATACTGGTTAGCTCTATCAGTTAATAGGTGTTTTTGTAATGGGTTGTCCCAGAAAAGATCCACCCTGCCCCCGAAGGGATTTCTGCTGTCAGGAGGGGGAGAGGAGAAAAATTTGTTTCTGACAATAGTAAGGGTATTAGTAGCCTGCAAACAGGCTCTCAAGCTGAATTGAGAGCCTGCATCGATGACTAATGAATTTGAATATCTGCGTCTCAAATCGTGACGCAAAATTCTCATTGGTCAGATGCTATAATTTATATGTTTCCGCTGAGCTCTATGTATGTCAACTGCTGATGCACTATGCATAAAAAACACATTAACTGATCAAATTGGTCTTGGCCATCTTATCTCAAAGCACGAAATGTTCTGTTTTGAGAAAACAGTATTAAACTTTTGCTTGAATATCTTATATTTCGAAAAACAGTATAAACTGTACGGTCTAAATTTAGTTTGCACGGTCTAAATTTAGTTTGCACGAAAGTTGTAAACAACACCATATAAGGATAGACATTCCATATTTGGAAAAACGAACGTTACGGGGCAGATATTCAAATTCATTAGTCATCGATGCAGGCTCTCAATTCAGCTTGAGAGCCTGTTCGCAGGCTAGGGTATTAGGACATCCGAAACAGGTACGGGGGCAAATTTCCTCTGTGGGGGAAGTATGGATATATTCTCGCATGACCCATTGTGACACTAACCTTGAAAATTTCCATCTACAAAAAGCCTCCAATATGGAGTGTGACTTAACTAATTTCAGCAATTGCAGAATTAGAATGTGGCCTTGGGGCAGAAATGTCACCAAAGACATTTATATCACTAGCTTACCTGAAACCATTGCCATAAAGCCATGTCAATGCCAGGGGGTGGCCCTGCTTGCTGTCGCATTGACGGGTTATAGGCGGGGTAAGTGTACTGTTGGTGTCCACCAGGATGGCCATAAGGATGTTGTTGGTATGGATTAGAATGTGGTGGTGGGGCATGGCCATGATGGGGTGGGGCATGGCCGTGATGGGGCGGGGCATGGCCATATGCTTGGTGGTGCCCCGGAGCACTCTATACATACAAAAGAAGACTTATATTAAAATGGCTCACAATTGCTTACATTGTTTATGTTTACATTTTTTTATTCTGATTTCTCTGAGTCGGTTGACAAGGTCAGCATGTTTAAATACAGTATTTGTTCAATAGGATTAAAATATTATCATACAAAGATATTGATTACGTTAATAATTAGCAACATTCTATTCTATTCTAGAAAATCTGAACTGACATTCTCAAGCGTCGTATGTTTGACATTTTTTACTTACCCCATAAGCTTGATTATACGCCGGAGGTCTCTGGTTCCACATATTTATAACAGTTCTCTTTTACCACATAACACTTTGAAAATGCTTGTAAAATTCAACAATTTAGAACTTCCGAAAATTAAGTGTGTTTATTTGGAATTTCGACGTTTTCTTCCCGGAATAGAAGTTCGCGCACTTTTGAGAAGACTGGGTTCGCGTAGTTAATGAGATGCAATGCATCCACTTGAAATATTTTTTCATTCATTTTCATTCATATGACTATTCAAAATTCATTCATTTTATAGGATATTACTATTATTTGCAAATAATTATTTGCAGTTGAAAGCATTTTAAATGTAAACAAATATAAATCATTCGACAATTTATTCTGGGAACCTTGTACTATTTAAACAAGAAATAATGCTGGTCAAAGTATATTATAAACGTGCACACAGTCAATAAATTTCAACCTGGTACATTTTGGTCAGTGAACTAAATATAAATAGTTATATTCTGTTTCATTTCACTGATTTTGGTACATTTTATTTTTTTAATCATTTCGGAATATTAATTTTTTTGTGAACTTTTATTGTCAATGAATCAACGTTTCAACGAAGTGGAAGTTCAACCTGATTATTTATTCAAAATGGCGTCCGACTGGTGTTTTCTTTTATGTTAAAAGACTTTTAAACACTAAATAAAACGCTTTGAAATACCGAAAAGAAAGAACTATGGACTTTGAATTTGAGATAGACCCTAGGTGAGTGTATTAAAGCTTTAAAAGAAACCAAAACTGTAGTATTTAGTGAGTTATAACTGTATTTTTGAACGCCATTTTCGACAGGGGTTTAAAGGGTAAACCGGGCACCGTGACCCTTTCAAAAGACAAGCAGAACCTGATAGGGATATCTATCGGTGGCGGAGCTCCTCTCTGTCCAGTGTTGTATGTGGTACAAGTGTTCGATAATACCCCAGCGGCAAAAGATGGTACATTACAGGCAGGGGACGAAATTGTTGGAGTGAATGGAAAATCTTTGCGAGGAAAGACGAAAGTTGACGTGGCGAAAGCTATACAGGCTGTTAAGGTTTGATCTTTTGAACATTGCTTCAGTTCATGTATTCTCATGTATTCAGTTCATGTATTCTCATGGAATGAAATATTACTGAAGACGGCCGTACGCAGGATTTTTTTCACTAGGGGGCAGTATGGCTTATATGCTGAAAAAGTCCCAAATATCCAAAGAATAATTAATAATGACATTCTAAAAATCATAAATATAGTTTTCTTGGGGGGGGGGGCATTGCCCCC